TGTTTAATTATATTTTAAGTCCTCTATTATATTAGATATTATTTGTTTTCGTGTTAATTTCTCGATACACAGCACAAATGTATAATTTCTAATCCAATTAAATATATTAAGATAAGGCTATATACGTCATGTATGTATTTTTGTACTACTTATATCAGTACAAACATATAGAATTTTCATCGATAAATACAGTAGAAAATTACTTGTTAAAATGAATCCTAATAAATAATATATCTAGAGCTATTCTATGCTGAATGGTATTAATTTTAAAAAACAATCAACATTTCCCTTAATATATAGTGATAATGTGCTACTGATAAAAGGTTGTTTTTAACAATAATAGTTGATAATATTAGTTTTACTTGGAAAGATGTGTATTATTTTGTTTATGGTCAAGATCAAGGGCGTCTACAGAAATATTCAAGTCAATTATCTACCCCTCAATATAGGAGTGAATTAAAATTCACAACCAATGTGTTTATTAACTGTAAGAACAATTTTATCCTTCTTTTCTGCTGTATGAGGGACGTCCTTGTCTAGAAAACGTAAATCATAAGTAATAAAAAGTTTTATTGTTAATCTAATATCAAAATGACTGAAAACCGGTTAATGATAATATATAATAAAAATTAATTACTTGTGGTTATATTATATAGCTTTGTTATACCCAAAATAAAATAAAATAGAATAGATGAATAAAATAGATTTTGATAAAGAACTAGGGGTTATATGAGAAATAGCTATATTTAATGAGTATAACGAAAACGTAATTTCAAAATTAGTCTGAATAGAAAAGTAGAAATAAAGAAAGGAGAGCAGCTGGTACACTCAATAGCTCAGGAACAAAAAGTAATTAGATTACCCATTTTATATTATCAGGGCATTTCAAATGGACTAGCTAGAATTTTTATGAATTTTGAAATTACATTATAACATTTAAGAGTAATAATTTAAGAGTTTTATCAGGTAATTTATAAAATACAATGTAAAAGTTATAATAAATGTTACTAATACAAACAAAAAGTAATATAAAAGTTAGGTTTAAATAGCAATCAAGAAACATTAAAAATCAAGAAGTTGACTGAACATTGATTGACACATAATCACTCCATTAAAACCATAAAACTAATTAAAAATGTACATAATTACAAAAAACTTAATATAAGGGAGGGAATAGAAATGTTAATAAATTAGAACAATTAAATTAACTAGAATCTTGGCCCACTGAAAAATTCATTAATAAACTTGAGTAAACTGGCAAAATGCGATTATATTACTTGGTGATAACATTTCTAGGTGATAAGGTCACTAAGTATATAAGGGAGTATTTACCGGTCGGGGTGTCAGTAAGTGTTTAGCATTGATAATGGTAACACTGTTTCCAAAATACGTATCAGCGATTTTTTTTTTTAGTAATTTTTTGTGGTTTTTTTAGTTTAAATGAACAATAGTTTTAATTTTAAATAATGATAATATAGTTAATGGATTTTCATATTATTTTTTATTATATAAATAATTCAATTTCGACATTTTCCAGACACAAATCTAGCGTGCTATTATAAAAGACAGATAAATTTAAAGAATCATACTATATTTGAAATACTGGAACGGGGCCGTCAATACAAGCTCTCTGGAATTATTCCTGAAACCCAACCAAACCCACTCAATAACTTACAATTATAAATTATTATAAAAATAATGAAGACCATTTTTTTAAGTAACATATAAATACATATATAATGTATATTTCTTGATTTATTAATTATTAAATAATTTTTAATTCATTTCTTATATCTTAAAAGAATTTTAACTTATTTTTTTTAAATGACAACATATATACTTAGCTAGCTTATAAAATAGATTATTATGTATTAAAGAAAATTATTGGTTTATCAGTAGTTTTGGAGCAGTACTTTAAAAGTAAATTTCTATTATAGACTTGAGGTAAAGCGCGACTTATTTTATCATTTAACAATCTGGGCCACGCTCCTCTCGCATAGGTAAAAAAATAACATCCAATACGATGTAATAAAAATTGTTATCGAACAATCATTTTTTATTTTATGAGTTATTTAACATTGCTAATTAAAAAAAAATTAAAGAATAATAGTGCATATATATATATATATATATATATATATATATATATATATATATTAATGCTAAAAACGCTATATGTAACCAAAAGAAAGCAAAAATAATATTTCTGAAATTTTTTCTATTTTATAAGAAATTGAGTGAGTTGGGTTAATTAATAAATGGATCACCGTGTATTAAGAATAAAGTATAGGTCATAGTTTATTAGCTTACAGGTCGGTGTCCGAAGACTTCAAACAAATTTATTATTTCTAAATACGTCATAAACTCTTCATGTCTGATAAAAATTATTATAAGCATTGTTCGATGAAGGACGAGATCATTAGTAAAAATTAATATTTTTACAGAAATGTTATGGATGAATGCGAATCAATAAACGTGCAAATATGTATTAATCTATAAATTAAGGATCAATTATAAAATTTTATCAATAAAAATAATTACTTAAACGAAAAACTTTTTAAATAAGCCATTAAATTTAGTTTTTCAAATTTTATTACCAAGCTATTATATTTTTTTACTATTATTCATAAGAGTTATAGAATAATGACGCTAAACATTAAAAAATATTATCATTAATTTATCCCAGTAAATAACTAGATATCAAAGAAAGAATACATCTTCTTCATAAATAACTTAAACAACTTAAGCACTTTTTTTTCTAAAAAAAATTAAAATCATATATTTCTAAATTTTTTTGAAAAATCCCCACATTAGATCGCTTATAGAGCCCAAAAAATTTTCCATATGGATAGTTTAGATGAATTATGTTTTAGAATTTAATAAATATTTTAATTATTACTTAAAAATAAAGAATTGTGAACGTTCCTTACCAAAAATTGTAATTTAATAATTGACCAGTTTTGATAATTATTGTATTGGTTTTTAATATTCCGATTAATATGGATTTGTCTAAAATTTTTATAGAAAAATAACTATTTTATAATTTTAATATCAGGTTAGAGAATTTGAAACAATTTACTTAGAGTTTGGAAATATCGTATAGATCATTTATTTGAATAACAGTTCTATAACAATTCGATAGTTCATGCTAAAAATAAACTATTCGGTTGCATAAAAAATATTCCATAATTTAAAATAATTGAAAATTACCATCACTAGTGTTATTACAGAAGTAAGCAAAAACATTTTAATGAAATTATTAATAAATTAAAAATAATATTTTATATATTTACGTTTTTTTATTCAAGAAAAGCCTGTGGTTAATCATATAATTTTGCAACAAACTTTTTCAATTCACAGATACTACTAACTTATGTATGCCTTAAGTGATACGTTAATTAGAATTCTAGCAAGAGTACACAAATGTAATTTAAAAATGATTAATGACTGTTTTTCACTTAAATTTATTGATTTTATAACTTATAAATGATTGATGTCAAAAGAAGTTATATAATTTATTATCTTCGAAAAAACTATTGTTGCCTATAAATCCTATGATGGAGAATATTGTTAACAATTCGCTTCTAGTTAATTACATTTACGTCAAAGAGCCTTTTAAGATTTAATACATATAATTTAAAATACTTTTTAATTTAATATACGCTATTATGAAAAAAAACAAATGACTTTTTATTTTATTTCAACAGCCAATAATATATAATTGATAACTAATTAATGACAGTTGAGTTTATATTCTAATTTTGTTTTGTTAAATCTGTTATTAAATGAGTATCACTAAACTATAAGGTTATTTCACTGAAATTTCATTTTAATATACCACCTTTAAAAAAAAACTAAAAAAGCAATACAATGAAATGTTTTAAGGAAAATTGTTTGTAGTCATCAAATTGTAATTAATAGTAATAAATTCGTACATCCTTCAGCGTTATATACGAAAAAAATTAGATTTTGGTGACAGCTTATTGTTTTATTAATTATATTACGGTTAATTGAATTTGAAAAAAATCTGCAATAAAAAGTAGTTATATGTAGTTTTAGCCGCATATTAAGAAATTATTTTAGGGGGGCTAAATTATTTTTACTTTGGTAATCATGCCAGAAATAATTTTTTTGCTAAAAAAGTAATGATGACCAAAAAAAGGTCTTTATGGCTATATTTCGAAAATTGGGTTAAAAAAATATTGATAGTGCTAGTGCGGGAGAGCGATCACCCTTTTTTTATTATGCCTCTCTCTGTAGTTCACTCCATACATTATTATCTCTTGAAAATCTCTTTATGATGATTAATTAACTGAATTAATGTTTATTACTATAACTCTAATAAATTAATAATTAATGACATTCTGTATTAATATAATATGTTTATACAGAATATTCGAAATTGTCGGATTTCTTTTATGTTCAAATTGTGTTTTAAAAATAACCACTGAACAAGGAATATGTCCAGATTGGTGTAATAAAATAACTAAAGTAACTCATAATACTGTTATTGTTCGATTTGTCATTACCGCCGACTTTATACAAGAAACGACTGTATTACTTCCTTTTTATGACAACGGCAGGCAAATAAAATATTACTTCGGCCTGCTCACAACCAATAGTTTTATTTCTGTACCTAAACCGCTGCCTTAATTTCTGGTAAAACCCAAAAATCCACTTAGCTGTTGTTAAACCTATTTCATTTTAGTCGTATTTGTGCAAAGCAAACAGAAAATTAAAGCTATTCGAAAGAGAAAAATTACACGAGTCGACTGTATGGACTTCGTTAATTCAAACAATTTAATATCAAAACTACAGTACTCCCCATCTCTCTTTTGCTCATCAAAGTGTTTGCCAGGCTTATGAACTATGTACTACAACCACAGATAAGAGAGCATTGGTACACGTAGTCACGGCCACTACCATAGAACACAAAAATTCACGGCGACCAAATGGGAAAAAAACTTATTATTCTAAAATATGTATATTACATTACGCGTGTATTAAAAATAAAACTGTTATCTGTACCGAATGCCTGCGGACGAGTAGACCTTTGACCGCCGTTTATCTTTGAACTCGTTAAAAATCCATCGAATCGTTTTGTTGGCGAGGCAATGTCATCGCAAACTGTATATGAACATTTCAACGGAATTCAAATAAAAATTATTATTAAAAAAATTTACTTGTACAAAGAAAACCAACGAAATTTGTTCAATAATTGTCATATTAATCATCAATGAAGGCTAGAGGATAATTAATTCCTCATTATGTTTTGACCGACGGACCGCGTGCAACGGCGACCGAGAGGTAAATCCGAACGCGCTAAGAGTACTACTAAAATGACTTTTTGTTAAATAAAATACAAACACACAAAGTGTAGCATTATTATTGTATAGGATATTATAATTTATCTTATCGCCTACGGTAGTTGTGTGTATGCATGTCGAAGGATAAGACTTTTTTATTATTGTATTATTATTATTTCTAGTGTAATGGGCGTCCCCGTTCACTGATACCACATAGCTCAAGCACTGTGTACTCGATAATAAAATAATAATAAATCAGTGACGGTCAGTAACGATGGTATAGGAAATCATAACGATTTGACCTAAGGGATGGAGTTATATTGATCTGCTGGTGGTCAGTGAACTTGTGGTCATTGGAATCCCGAACATATTAAGACACAACAAAAGAGTAAACGGGAGTCATTAGAACAGACGTATCGCTAATGAGCAACCTTGACTTGGAAATCGGTCATCACCTCCACACACACGCCAACAATTAAAAATATCAAAAATACTACAAAAACTATTACGTTACAAAACGTTTTCCTAGAGCGCCAAAGCTTTTGGGAATGGAAAACAAATGGCGATCGACTGCCGCCGTTAGTGCCGATTTCCACGTTCAAAACCTGATGGGCAAACAAACGTGTACGATTTTTAATATAAATAATACATTACAGTGCCATTACAGTATCGATGGGGCCCGCTGCAAGGATGTTAAAATGCCGTTGGTATATTTTAAATTACAGTACGCGGCTAATAATACGAACGTTATATAAGTACATATTACCAACGCGACTTTTTGTCTTTAACATTCTGTCAAAATCGCGTAACTCGCATCACTTTTTTTTATAACTCACAGTTGTGAAGATTTCACGTACAGTGGGGCTCCGAAAAGAAAATGAACCGCCATTTTATCGAACACAACATTACATTTTACATAGAGTTCATTATTTTGTATATTTGATCGAAACTGGTCAATTATCGGCTACAGTTAAATTTAAAATTTAAACAATACTGCGGAACGCAGGGAAGTTTGTGTTCATGTTTACAAACAGCACTAACAAAGACTTTGATTTCGGAGAATTCTCTGATAGTTCATCTCGCGATCAAATAAAAAACATTACATATAATTTTTGAAATTTAACACAAAAAATCAATAACGGCACTTCGACTACAGTTACGTTACGTTGCAATAATCCAAAACCGACCCGAATAATAGTTATGTGCACTTACCAAAAGTTCTCAAGTAAGTGGCGTCGATGTCGTTGCCCGGCATGTTGTATCTCCGCTGGTGTTGCAGATAACGCGTCCGGTCGGCGGAGATAAGGCGGAAAAGCGCGTATTAAAAAAAAATTGTAACTATTAATAATAATAATAATAATATTGGAGTTATCGTAATATTTTTATCGTAACACTTATTATCAACTACGGCCGAGTCTAATGGGTAAAAACTTTCGATAAAAACGCGTCACGCGGTACCTGCGAATCGACGGCAACCAGTAAACGACGAACCGTCGTGGTCGTCTCCTCGGTCGTGTGTTGCAGTGATGTGGTCGTCAAGAAAAGTTAATCGGTCATCGTACGACAGTGATCTTAAACGATTAGTTTGGACGTGATATCGTGTCGAAACAGTAACGATAATAAATATATTCTATTTTATGACGACAACGGACGTATAACGTTACACGCAGACGGACTATATTTGATAGATACGAAACGGTAGTAAAACGATATAGGTCGTTTTTCTGTTCGTTAACAATAATATAATATAATAATAAAATAAAAACACTATGGGCAATGGTGAGCTGTCGGGCCGGGTGAATCACGCGCGCGCCGGGCGGAAAAGTGAACCGGTTCGGCCGAGGAGGCGGTGGCGATACACGTTGCCCCCGCGACCGCCTGGCGATCGTCTACCCCGCTTGCTCTTCTCGCCTTGCGGGACGGCCCACTTTTTATCATCACTGGTCCACGTCTGCCACCGCCTGTCTCTGCGCTTTCCGGTGCAACGTTTTACCGCAGCGAAATAACCCGCGTTTCATTTGTCAGTCCCCACCACTGATGTTGGGTCTAGGGGAAGGCAAACGTTTAACGTGGTTCACCAATGATAACTTCCCCTATCTAAAGCTTTAGAAAAACTTGATTCTATTCTTTAACTATTACACAATACATTTTGGTATCCGGAAAAAACGTCCAAGTAACAATAGAGAAAGTTTATAAATAAAAATTTAAAAGTACTTTTGTACAAAAGCTCTCATTCAATATATTGTTTCTCTTATACTAGTCAATCTATGAGAATGACAAGATTTTGCAACCTTTTCATAACATGGAATAATAAGCATAAAAAGATCAAAAATAAATTGTTCAGACCATAATATGTTAAACATAGCTGACCCATCGCTCTATAAAGGGGACAATTGCCCCTATCCCAATCGAAGTATCACGATATTCCAGTGAAATATTACATTAGGCAGTGTCAAATACACCGTCCCTAATATTCGCTATACTGTGACGTCTTAAAGGTTGAGTAACACTTGTTTAGTGAGTAATGTCAGTAAATTAGGTTAAAGATAATTGTTGATAAAGTATGTTCACATTATTATAAATAAAAATATTTTACATTTAATAGATTCTATTTTTAAAAGTAAATTTTATTTGTTAATTGTTTATCTATATTAAACTTATAGACTTACATTTTTTATTAAGAATAAAATGAAATTTATCTAATATTAGTATTTACTCAACTTCAAATTACAAGAAATTGAATCGATACAAACATTTAAAAAAGTGACTTTCATAAATAAAAAGAAGAATTAAAATTAATTAATTGGATATTTCAAGTAAGATATAAATTAATTATATTTTTGATAATGCCTTAAGAAGCAAACGCTTTAAAATAACGAATAAAATATAATATTTTTGGAATTGAGATATAAGATTAGTTTTATATTCCAAAATAAGTAAACAAATGTATAAACAATTAAATTTTATCAGTTGGCATTGAATATATTTCATACAAACAACGAACAATCATTTTATTTAAATAAATACAATTATTGTTTGTTATGTTATCATTCCTAAAAATTATAGGTGATAATGGACTTATTACTAGTTATTTGCCAAAAATAATTAAATGTCAACGTATTATATTTTACCATAAATTTTAGTGAAGTTTTATTTTATTTAAATTATAAAAATACAAATAATAAAAAAATAAATCTACAGTTCTAATTGTTGGATAATTTTTAGAAGAACGTAATACTCAACTTTATAAACCTTGTTATAAATTATAATAACATGGTTAGAGTAGTTGATGTTAAATATTCTTTACCGTGTTTAACACAACTGTATACTAAAAGCAATAATTCGTTGAAGCATTTTCGATACAATATTCCAATTATTATTTATAACTCAGTTCCGCATTACTGGAAAAACTAAATTACGTCATGCTTCAACGTCGAATTATATTAAGAAGGTAAGTGTAGTGAATAACTTTGTATTATTTCAAATAATTTCAATTTATATTTGCTAAAATTTTTTTTATAATATTAAAGACTATTTTTAGTTATTATTTTATAGTTTGTATATTTCCAAGTTTTACAATAATGGCTTTATAAAAATCCAAAAATTTTAAAACATGAAAATTTGTCTACCTAATTTTGTTAAAAAATATGTATCAATTTTAAAGTACTTTTACTATAGTAATTAAATCATGGAAAAAAACTTAGTTATAAACTGTTTGTAATATATTACAAACAAACAATATATAGTTATTAAAAATAATTATATAATAAGTTAATTCAAATATTTTATTAAAAGTATGTTAAAGTGCGGTTGTATTTGATGAAGTTACTCTTTGTTCGTGATTTCTTTGTTGATATATACATTTTTGTATGAAATAACTAATAAATAAACTTCACATTTGAACTAAGAATAAAAGAACCACGCGTAACTTGTTCGTGTCTAATGCAGATAAACGAGTTTACAAAAATCAATATTTCAACGGAAGTATTCTGTACTGTTGATCATTATTAATTTTGATAACTTTATAGAATTTTATACATTTATTTATAAATAATATAAAACACAATATAGTTTTCTGTAAGTTCATAGTATCCAATAATCTATTGTTGAAAAAATAGCCTTCACCACCTTACTACTTTAAAATAGTATCAACTTTTATTTATTAAATGGAAACATATTTGTTTAACCAGCATAAAACAAGAAAATTATCAAAGAAATGACTGACCAATAACAAGTTTTGAATTGGTATTTTGAATGGTATTATTTTTATACAATGGTGGAAAGAGTAGTGCAGTTCATAAATGCTTAGAGATAAAATTAAACAGACCCGTTTATCTATAGTCTTGATATTTGTTAAAAACTTTTAAAATACTGGTTTAAAAGTTGTTAACAACCAGTTATTTTCTTGGATAGATCATCTTCTTTTTTTTAAGTTTCTTAAACATATGCCTAGTGTTACACCTTGTATGTTTCCATTTAAAAAACAGAAGTTGGTAAACTTTTAAGGAAGGGGAATAGGACAACATTTTTTGATGAAAATAATAAAACTTGGGATTTTGTTAACTTTTTAAAAAAATATTATATGTTTAACATTTTTAAGTTATTTTGTAAGTCATAGGGAAGGTTTGAGTAGATCTTGATAGGTGAGACATTTTAAATTTTTTTGTTGTTCATTTTAATATTTGAACATTTTTTATTGAAAGGCTTGATTTTTCAATTAAAATCAAGTAGGTTCATTTTTTTTTGATCTGGCAAAAAATAATTAACACTTTATTTTTTCAATAATTATTATTTATGAGAAAAATATTGGTGGTAATCTAATATACATTTTTTCTTAATAAGTAAAAATGTATGAGCACTATTTTGAGAAATTAATGTTTTTTATATAATGTTTCATTTCATATAAGTACTAAAATAAAATATAAAAATAGCTCTTATTTTGAACCATGGGATCTAGTTATTTTGTGTATTTTTGAAAACATTAGTTCCAAGATAAAATTTATAGCTAAAAGTATTAATTATGTTAAAAATTGAATTAAAATCAAGACTTGGAAATAGAGTGTCTTATTATGATATACGTGGCCCTTTTAAAATTATAAACTCGGGGACCTAAGCATAATTAACAAAAAAAAAAATCAAATTATTTTTTATTTTATTAATTTTTTTGCAAAGGATTTCATAAGTGGAAATATTAATATCTTCATTAGTCTGATTTTACTATACTCATTAAATAGAACAAATCGTACTAAGTAAAAATGACTGCATTAGAATTTTTAGAAAGTGTTAATTTTAAAATATAATTTATAACTTGTTTTATAAAATTTAATATGTAAGCTATTACATGAATATTGTGTGGTATTCTAATTGATATAATTTTGTAAAATGAAATATCTAAGGAAGACGCTTGTTATCAAAACTTTATAGTAAAAAACCTATACAATATTGATATTCGTCATATTTATTGTACGTCTGAATAAGTCATGTTGTTATATTGAACACAAATAAAACGTTATCATTACCTGTTAACCAAGTTAACAATACGCAGTATGACATAATATGTCATACCGCATTTTTGTTTGCTCGTGTTCTTTTATTCACCACGTGTATTGTAAAATATTTTAAGAGATCAAAGATTAAAAGCATTTTTATTATTAATATTTAAATATTTAGAATTACAAAAATGTAAGGTAACAAATGTAGTATTTGCTCAAATAGAATTAATATTTTTTGTCACTTGAAGTAATGTTTCTTGGTGGACTGTTTAATATTCAGAAGGTTGTTAATAATTATTTTTCTTTATTAAAGATTTTTTTTTTTTTATAGCCTTTATTAAAATAATATTTAGCTCAACAATTATTAAAGATTATATAAAGTGTTCAAAAGGTAAGGAAACTGGTCAATTTTTATGAACAATAAAAACAAAAGAAATATTTTTCCTTACTTACTGAACACTCTGTATAGTTTATTTTACTAAGTTTTGCTCTTAATACCAATCAATTTCATTTTATGTTCCTTTGAATTGTTATAATAACTCTCTCGCTCTCCACATGATCTTTTATTATTTTATAATACTTTATCTTAAATAGTAATTTGGAATAAAAAACGATAGCACAGTGGGGTCGTGGCATAGTTGGGACGAGTATAGATACAATTTGATAGTGATAAAAACCACTATCACAAGAAATGCTTCGATGAAAATCTGTATATAGTGTTTAATACTAAGGAATTGGTGGATTATTCCAAAAATAAAATAGGTCGTCGGTACAATTTTTTTTTTTAATTTCTTGTACATAAATTAAGTTTTATTTTAACATATATTTAAAATACGCAATATTCCTCGGACATTTTCAAAAGTTAAAAAAATTCTACTCTTTATACAAATTTTCGAGTTTTCAAAAGTTCAAAAAATCTTTTCTTAGCTTTAAAGAGGCAATATAATGAAGAAAAAAGTAGAAATTTGTATTTAATGTAAGTTAGATTCATATAAGTTTTATATTTATTGACGGACTCATTACTATGGTAANGTTAAAAAACTCTACTCTTTATACAAATTTTCGAGTTTTCAAAAGTTCAAAAAATCTTTTCTTAGCTTTAAAGAGGCAATATAATCAAGAAAAAAGTAGAAATTTGTATTTAATGTAAGTTAGATTCATATAAGTTTTATATTTATTGACGGACTCATTACTATGGTAAACTATTATAAGGTATTTTAAATAAACAAAAAAAAAAATAAAATTTTTAACACAAAAATAATGTGTTTATTATCTACGGCATAAAGAAAGTATTTTTTTTTTAACTTATAGTACATGTTAGCTTTAACTTAACTTAATATGTTTAAAGAACGCAGTATTTACGGAACATTTTCAAAAGTTAAGTTGAAAAAGTGTTACTTTTTATATATATGATTCAAGTTTTGAACGGCCTCTGTATAAGGAGACATTGCTCGATTTAAAAAAAAATTATGTCGGATGAGAGGTGTATATAAAATGTATTTAGAAACAATAATTTGTGTTGATCTATACATTTTTCAAAAAGTTATAGAAATTTAAAGTTGAAAATTTAAGATCAAAAATCGAATATTTTAACACAAAAAGAGCATTTTTTTAATTTCGGCAGCCGTTAGCACGTAAAAAATAAGTCGTCTGGGCGATTTTTTTTTTAGTTTTAGTACGTAACATAAGCTTTAATTTGACATATGTTTGAAAGACGCAATATTTTTGGTACATTTTTAAAAGTCAAGTTGTTAAAGTTGAATTTTGTAAAAATGTTTCTATTTTGAATAACCCCCTGTGAGCAGGTTAAATGTCAGATTTGCAAAAAAATAATATCAAATAAAAGGGAAATATCTATGGTTTCAATATAAAAAAAAATTATTTTAATTCATTTATTTTTCAATAAGTTATGGCAATTTTTAGAGAAAAAAAAAATGACAAAATTGCACAAAAAGGAACGTGGGAAAAATTTTTAATTTTCGTGTGTAATGTCATCAATTCAAAAGCTTTAATTTGACATATGTTTAAAGGACGCAATATTTTCGGTACATTTTCAAAAGTTAAGTTGTATAGAATTTCCACTATGATTTCAAAATATGCATTTTAAAAGTAAATGCCTTCTAAGTCTCTTAAATTTTCCAAAAAATATTACCTGTTAGGCAAGAACATGGTAGGTATAAATTTTTGTTGTTCAAAACCTAAGAATCTTTGCACGCTTATGTAAGAAATACTGTTTTGTACGAGTCAACTAGACTCCTATCCGTAGGACGGATAGGTGTGCACCGCTCTAGAATGCCGTTTTACCTTAGGCCTGTTTTTCGCTATAATTAAAACCGCATATCCAATAAGTAAGAGAATAGGCAATAATTAAATAACAAATAACCACATATATTATAAATTCTTTAGAGAGTATCTTAAACTTAAGGGGTAGCGAGGGGCCCATAAATACTAATGGCCGGCGAAGCGACAAAAACAAAATAGTTAAACTCAATTAGACAAATAATAAATAACATAAAAAAAATAATATAAAAACTCAACTGAATTGATGAAGTTGTTGATAGTTATAAGTGCACTGTATGAGATCTTGTGGTAATGATGTCGAACATTTGATTATCACGAGTCGGAGTGTAGATCCAGGCAGGTCAGGCAGATTAAAATAGATGGCGGAAGAGCGACTACGGCAATGAAGTGATGGTCAGGGCCCAATCACTGGTGACGTTCAAGAACTTTGAGCACAAGGGTGCAACAAAAAATAATAAAAATCATGGCGTACAACTGCCAAAAAATTAACTATTCAAGCGAAGGAGCTTGTTACAAAAAAAAGAGACACATAAAACAATTGACTTTCTGACTTACGACGATGAACTGTACACGGATGACAATTGACAACACGGAGGCCATCGATTTGCCGTGATGGGTGGCAAGGGGGTGAGTAAAGCTAAGACGCTAGATATCAGATGTCACACGATATAATATAAACGGTGTTTGCTACAACTGGTCCACTAGGTCTTTGCTAAAGGCGTTCTCTACCAAACAAATACTATTATCAAATTATTAATAATCAAATATTTCAATTAGAATTATACTAATGTATATAGGCGAGGTAATTGAGTATTTAATTTTAAAATAAGTACAATTAACCCAATAAATTATTCGGATAATTGAAATCCAAACAGATTTTTTCGGGACAATAATAAAAATAATTCGTATGATTTTTAAAGGTGGCAGTTCTTTTATTGTTGCCGCATATAAAAAAAAATTGAAAATATGCTGTATTATTTATCGGTGTTATGCCTTTACAAGACATTTGAGAGATGATAAGTTTTTTAAACGAATATTTCAATTAAATATTTACTTAAATGAACTATTCTGAACTGTTCCAGTATTTGTAACATAATCGAAATTTGGTATCGCAAAAATAAGGTTTTTAATAAACTATTAAGTAGTAAAGTATGAAATCCTGCTTCATAATGATAAATATATATAGCTTCGTATAGCAAAAAAATATTCTTATAGAGTCTGTGGGCATACCTTAGTATTTTTTATTATTTGTTTTAAGGTTTTAATAGAAATTTCATTATACTTTCGGTTTATAAAATTATTAACCTTCAAAAATATCGTTATAAGTCAACTAACGTACTAGATATATATAGTAAGTAAGTTGGCCTATTTTTGACTTGCTTCCAAAATCATTTCAACTTCTAACCATGCTTTAATTAAATAAAATGGTAATTATTATTGTTTTTAATTATATAAATATTCATTTTAAGAGAGGTTTCTTGATTCTTTTGCTAAAACATTCCAAATAATCTATTGTAATTTAAAATCTATTATAATAAATTTTAAATTTAACTAATCAATAGTATAAAATATTCAAATATCCTAATCATTAGTAAATAAGTGAATAGTAATTGATACAATTTTCGCATTCAAAGAGAGCTGTAAATAATGGTAAAAAAATTGTTTTTGTAATCGAGAAATCCATTGGATTTAATATACTTAAATAAAAAACACATATTATTTATTTATAAATTATTAACATAATTATAGTAAAAACAATACATTTATTAATGTTTTCAATAATATAAACATGACAACAACTTAGCTTAATTATTACAATTGTCGGTAACATTCAGTTTAACCACAAAATATTAATCATTTATAATAACATAAAAACAAGTATAAAACCAACAATAATTTAATTTAAATTGACATAGTGCTAAAATATTTCCAGAATATCATTAAAATAATAATAATCTATTTCAATTGTTGTACAATACATGTAGCACCGTATTTATCACAGATAAATAACAAAATTTTTGTTAGTCTATCAGTTTAATCATTAACATTTAATTATACAATATTTACACAAATATTTTTAATTTTCTATAAAATATTATTTTTTGTATAGATAAAATAGAACACTTCTAGATATTTGTAAGAGACGTTTTTATACGCGATTTTTTACTTAATAAAATAAATAAAAAAATTAACATATAATCTTAATGTTTAATTGTGAAGTATTTCACAGATATATACCTAGTGTACAACTAATATGTAATGCAAATTTTATAATATTCATATATTTAATATATTAATTAATTTGTAAATCAGTACTTATGTAAAGCATAATTATAATTGTTTAACTTTGGCGTAAACATTATTATGACTTTATTCTTAGGCTAAAAATTATGACTATTGGTGACAATCATTTTTTTTTTTTTTGAGCATATCATTCAATTTATTTATGTTTATTGCACTTACAGAAGCGTTCAATGAGGATATCCTCCATTGGAATATATCCTACCCTTTATTAAATTTAGGTCACATTTATACCTTTTAAAGGTATATAATAACTAAATAAAAATTTGGTTTAGAAACCAAAAGAGTCACTATGAATTGAATACAAAAATTTTAATATTTTACCAAAATATTTATTTTGTATAATCAATAAAAGAACCAAGAACGTTCATTGCTTGCGAAATCGTAAAATTTCAATACTTTTAAATGATTTTGGGAAACGTTTAATTTTGTTCATGTAATTTGACTATTGGGGTTAGTATCTACGACATCACCCGGTAAATGATGTTTCCAACTTCTAAATAAATATCTAGTAAACTTTCTCAATTGCCTAAATTTGCAGTACGTAGCTCCTTGAGCGGATTCTAATTGTTGAGTTTGTATTAAAAAACCTTTTTCTTTAAAGGTTTTTTCAAGACGCTCTCTAGCCAATGATTTTTTACTTTTACGTTTTGGATCTTTAAAGGGAAGATAATTTACGGATTCTGGTATTACAGAACCCGATGGCCCACTAATGTTCATATTATAGTCATTTACTGGACAAACTTGGTCTCTTACACATAAATTTAATGGCTCTTCTACCACTGTGGTTCCATAATTCTTGTAAATTAAATGACAAATATCAGCCTGCAAATAATCATGTAACTTAAACGTCTTACAAATATATTTTAGTAGAAAACAAAGGATGGATGGGTTTTTAATTCTATTAGTATTGACACAATAAAAAATATTATATTATTCATACCTTCTTTGGTTTACGTCCTCTCCTTGGTTTAGCGTTGTCCAACGTCATCTCTCCCATGTATGGTAAATCGTCAAAACGAACGCTAGTTTGAGCTTCCGGAGGAAGTTTAGATTTAAAAGTACAAATTGAAGGTACAGGTGAAGTTGGTTGAGAAACGTCGTGGGATAGTTGTGGAGTCATCATAGATGATTCGTAGTGGTTTAAATATTCTGGTGGTAAAGCTTGATGATGAAATTTGAGTTTCCATCGAGATTTTCTTCTACTAATGAAACATTTACTTTGATAAGTACTTAATTAATTTATTTATTTGTGTAATTTTGTATAGTAATATAAAAAACGGATTAAAAAAATGAAGAGTAACTCGATTAAGTAAAAATTATAAATTTAATTTTAAAGTTACCAATGAAAAATACGATCATATACTATTTTTAGAAGAAAAAAGTGGTTTTAATTTGTATATTTTTTAATTAGAATTATTATTAATACTAAAACTAAAACAGTTTGGCTTTGTATAAAACTAAGTATATTTTGTAAACGTGTATTAAATGAAATTATCTTTTATGACTAATAGTTGTGTCTTATTTATAAATAGCAATGTATTAAAACAACGGATTCATTTTATGGCCGTTAGTCGCTTTATTGCATTACATGAACTATTTATTACTGCAATGGTTTTTGTTCAATTAAGTTTTTTTCGGGACAAGAAATCGTTGTGAAAAACGTTATAGTTATAACGTTTAAAACAAAACATTTTGTCAAAACGTAATCAAAAAGCCAAAAATATGTGATATTGTTGAACATAATACAACTTGTAACGTAAAACAATTCTTATTAAAACAAAAATAAATTATTTTATATTATATTATATTATGTTATATTTAAAAAAAAATGTTTCGAATTATTTGAAATCTTTTAACGTTTAACATAAAATGTATTAACGTTATAATGTTTGACGAAAAAACTTGATTAACGTTTTCATATTAAAAACTTAAAACATAAAAATTATACAACGTTTAAATTTCGAATAACGCTGAACTCAATTATGAGATAACGTTTTATATTATAAAATATAATTAATTATAATATATTTAATATATTTAAACGTTGAACAATTTTTTGTTTAATCAACCCTTTGGTTTATTTTTAAGAGTTATTAGGCTCAATTTTATTAATCATAAAAACCACAAATAATTATAATTTTTTAAGACGCCTGAGCTACAGTTAATCTTTCGATTATCGTTTTTTATCATTATTGTCATCAATATTATGTAATTATTTGGAAGTTATGAAGAATTCTAGTAATAAATTCTTGAAAAAATTTTTATATTTAAAAGTAAAGAATGCATATTTTTTTATTTTTCTGTGTAAATTATTTGAATATTTCGTCTTTTAAATATTTGCACAATATATTTAATGATTAAAAATTAAATATTTAAAATTATTTTAGGATTAATTTTTAAATTTAAATTTATACAATATTTATTATCACTAATATAATATATTGGTGTACAAAATTATTACAATATTTATTTATAATTTATTAATATTATAAATAATAAATAATATTATATTGTTATAATATTCACAATATTGTACCGTAAAACTTATTTTTAATATAAAACTTAATTTTCACAAAAACAAAAAAAAAATAATTTGATTATTAATATTTTTCAAGCATTTAAATTATTTATTATTTTAAGTAAGATACTTTAGCGACCTCTATCGTTCTGTTAATATACGTCGAATTGAATTTCGGTATATACTGTTAGAGAGCGCTATACGATATCATTTTTTATCAATTAAATGTAACATCATTTTGTTAATATCTTTGTTATTAGATGTAATGGATACGTTTATCTTTAAGTAGAGGAGGTAGTTGTTAGAGTTTGTGTGATCTATTAATTTTTAGTTGGTGACTAATAATATTTGATTTATTAAACTGTTTAAAATCGTACCTTTAAAAAGATATTTTATTATGATCGAACCTTCAGGAACATTCAAATTATAATTTCTAGAGAAGTATGGTCTCTTGGGAAAACAGCTACCTACCCAACATGTCTCCCTCCAAGTACATTTTGCAAGACATAAATCTTATATTTGAGTATAAATTATTAAAAATGTATTTAAATAAGAACTTCATTAATTTACAATTACACTGCTGATACAATTATTAAAATAATTGAAAATGATACAAATATGTTACAAAATAATAACTTATTTTATGGTATCAAATTTGTGCATATCTTACCGGCCATTATCCTTGTTTGTGGGTATTATTCCTTGATCTGGCTGTTTTACACCCATACCGTGCATCTAAAATATATCAAATTTTAACAATATAAATATTGATAAAAATTCTATTTTTAAGTGTATGTTTATTTCTAGTTTTAGTATCTATATGAAATAATATATTGTCTAAACTTAATAAAATTGTATAATTCGTAATTTATCGTTAGATATACTGAACTTAGTTCAGTATAGGCGAGATAGTCTACCTACGAACAAAATAAATTACAATTAGTCAAATCGATATCTAAAGTTGTACGTTGTAAATTAATACAAAAAATATATAAGTCGTTAAACTATTAGTTTTCTAGATGATATTATGTATATCAATTGCAAATTCTCTATTAAAACTAAAATATTAAATAATTCATTAATATGCTATGTCAAATCACTTTTTGACCATGTTTATCAATTATATAATTATTATTTTTTCCAAAGGGGATGTAACACCTAAATCCCCTCTATAATGCACTATGTGTATTGTCACAGTGTGCTTGAATAATAAATTAAAACTGAATCAGTAAAAAGTATTGTTTGTTTGTATTTGTAAAAATTTTGAAGAGCAATCAGTTCCTAGTGCTATGGCAATAATTATTATGTCGTGCAACAACATTCTAAGTGTATACAAAAACTGGTTTTTTACACACCTCATTGTGTACCTTTACTATTTGTTTGGGAATGAATTATAAATAATTTCAATATCGTTGTTTACCAACATTTCTCATTCATACGACGATAACCGGTTGGTGAATGGTCTCCAAAGTAACACTCTCACGACATGCGGTAAGCGCCTACGCATCACACTCCTTTCAAAAATATGTTTCATGCAAATAATTTAATTTTCGTTTGCGAAAATGTTGACGGACGTTTAGCGAAATGAAGTTTTTGATAAAAAGTTACTAGGGCATAGTCACGTAGTTTTAGTAGTCACCCGATTTGAGTGTAATTCGTTTAATTGTTGAACGCTTCATGAAATTTAATAAGCAATAATAATATAAATCATAGTGCTATTTTGTTACATTATCAAGCATATTTTTTAATAGTCGTATAAATATAATAATTCAAATGTATTGTTTATAACAGGAATTTTTAAAACTAAAATTATTATACTTTTTTTATATTTATATTTTTATATTTTATATTTTTTATTTAATAAAACATTGACTGCTTGGTCATTAGTTATATAAATATTGATAATAATATGAATATAATATGTGTGATTATACGTTTAACGGAGCAATACACGTGTATTAGATATGATTCAAGATCTTAAAAATGTAATAAGGCATTGTATTGCTTACTAAAAGTGATAGTACCATACCTTACTGTGTCGTTCAATTGTTTAATAATGTTCATTTATTATTATTAAATCGCAATAATATTAACTCATGTTAGTTATACTAAGGTTTGCAATTGTGGCGAATAATTGTTTTCTCCGTTATACACACCTACGTTTCGTACTGGAGATACTATTCCTACGCAAGGCCTTACCTATTCTTGTTGGAGCCTCACTTTAAAATAGCCTCAGGGTAGTTGATTATCAAAGTAGCCAAGTATAAACAAGATTCTCATAAATTAATATGGGTGTTCAATAATTAGATCACAATATAATCTTTTAATATAACAACCTCCTCTAATTGTGAACGCCGCACGACACAATATCATTAATGTATTATTAAATAATTAGATTAAATCATGTTAAAAATATTAAGGATTTTTAAGAAGAATAAATAATATAAATAAACTATTACCTAGTAATATCAAAACACAGATTTATGGATTAATAAAGTTTTACAGAAACTATCGTTTATCTGTTCTAGAATTAAGTAGATAGAAATGAGAATTAAATTTTTGCAATCAATGTTTCATATTTAAAACCATAAAGTTTTGTCGTAATGCGGATAAACTCAATAAATTGTTCAAGATTAAATTTGTCTCTAAAGCAAGTGCATATTTGCTGCATTTATAAAAAAAACTGATATAACTTTGTAAATGAATATTTTATAAGGTAACCGAGTTAGTGATACAATAGACCGACCTACTGGGTGATAAAGTTCTAGTCTCTTGGGTACGTTATAGATACCAGACGTTTGGTAACAATCTATTCACAGTTTGCATTATTCCTTAATTAATAATACAATTGCAATTTGGGTCACGCTCAGTTAACAATATATTATTCAACAAGATGTGCTGAAATAAATCATACGTATTAATTTTCATGAGCTCAATCTATAATAAGAAATTTTGAGGTGTTCACTTGAACCTTCCATAGGGTAGATTTCTCTATTAAGATAGCCTTTTCCAGTGAGATAGTTATCCTCCTTTTTAGTTATTTAAAATGGAAAGGGTTTAATAATTTAAAACCTTATCGATCAGAATTCACTTTTTGAACAATTTTGCTTTTATAAATTTCCGAATATTTAATTAATATTGTTTTATAAATGAAACAAGTATAGAATATAAAAATCTAAAAAATAAAAATTCATCATTATTTTATTTTTATTAATTTATATATTATTTATATTTTTTATGTATGTAGTATATTATTAATATACAAATATGTAAGTGAAATTTAATACTTGGTATTTGGGTGTCCTCAATAATAAATTTTGAAAAATAAAATGGATTTCTTCTTTTTGATTAAATTTTTTACGACTTTTAGAAAGTCGTATAAGTTGGATATTTGATTTAGTTTTTCTAGATGTACAAATTTTTCAAGATGAAAAAAATTCGCTATGAATTTGTCAACATTTAAAGTGGCAATAATAAAATATTTTTATCCAATGTTAGTAAGTGTAACATATTTAATTCATAAATTAAGTCAGTGCAAATAAGTCCTGCGTAAATGAATATTTGTTAATTTCAAAATTCTTTATACATTTCATATATTTATAATAACAAATGTGTTAAAAACTAATTAATCAATTAATAAATTTAAGTACCAATAATGTTTAAAATTTTTTTTTTCCTTATTTATTTCTTTAATTTATTATTTGCAGTATCTGTAGAAAACCAATTAGCGGTAACTTTTATTTTCATCCAAATAAACCAAATCACCTTTTATAAAATAAATCAATGATCGTTTACTTCTAAAATAATTGTTTTTTTATACGTTACGTAATTTGAATAATACTAAAGTCCATAATTTTAAAATAGTATATTTATTATTTGATTTCATACATATTATAGTAAAAAAATAACTCTATTTGCATCTTTTATTACTCGTCATATTTGATTAAAAAGTATACAATGCAGTTTTTATGTCATTTTGTTGACTTAACAGTGAAGAAAAATGCCCTACGAGTAAACTCATCTGGTAAACAACACCTGGGTTGCTCTTTAATGTAAAATTAATATGCCAATTATTCTATTTAATACATTTCTCATGCATCATTAAGTACTAACATTTGGTTTGCGTATGTAAATAAATGCAGAAGACTTTTTTATTTATTAACATGATACATTTTTGCTATGCACGCAATAGACATTAACGATCCCTTTAATAATATTTACACAGGATATATACATGTCTTTATGTACTAATGTATACTAGCAGGACGTTAGTTAATTGACGTTGTTAAAATATCAGCTTTTTCATATCATTTAATAGTAAGTATAGATATTAATATAAAAACATTTGAATAATCTATTTTTGTTTGTCTGTTTATTATGATTTATAGACATTAGGTAAATGTTGAGAAATAACAGTTATTAAAATTATTATACATTGACATGATATTTTAATGTTTCGATTCAAGCAATATATGACTCTGGATCATTTATCACAAAGTTATGTCTAGAAATTATATAAATTTCTTGAATTTTTTAAATGCTTATACGTTTTGTTAAGTGATGATAAAAATGCATACCAAAGTAAAAATGTTTTTCAGAAAATTAAATATATAAAATTAATTACTTTTTATTTAAATAATTATATATAAAAAACATGATAGAGTAAAACCCATAGCTTCTCAGCTACCCATCAAAGTTAAAAAACTTGCTGAATGTTAAAGAAGTATAATTTTTTTTTTTTTTGAATTTATAAACAATCGTATAAGCGACAATTTCTTATGAATAAATACACAAAGAAAGAATGAAATAACCTTAGCTCAGATGTAATATGATACTCATGCGCACTATAAATACATTTATTTACCATTAAATTTAAGTTTACTTAAATGAATTCAAAAACTTCTGTGTTAATGAAGTTAATTGATGCTTTAAAGTTTTGACAACATATTTAATAATATTGATTTAACTAAATATCAGAAGTCTATTTTTATCATTGAAAACTTGTAATGAATTAAAATAATAATTAACTCAGTGTTATCATTATCAAGTTGTGAATCGTGTAGTTGTTGGTAGTTTTAATTAAATTTCGTTAAAGAAAATATCAGATAAATACCTGGAGAATTATAAACTATTGTAAATCCAGAAAAGAAGATTCAACGTAGTCAAACACTGCGATAAAAATAATTGTGGTTTGAATTAGATAGAATCATGTATTTTGATTTATCAGTTAACGAGTAATTTGTATTCAACGTGTTTGTCGCATAATGAAAAATTAATTATAATAATAACAACACTAAAATAATGACTAGACACAAATGTACAACATATTTTTTTAAATAATCCGATTATTATCCGTTGTTGTCGACGTACACATCATCGTAGTGTGTACAATTCCGGCTTTCTGTGGTACTGAACGTTGTCCGTCTTTTCAAGCTCGGCGGTTACCCGCCGAACAGTGACTCCTACGAAATTCGAGATTGCACCGTATTTGGCGTCCGTTTGAAAACCGATGGTACTATATTTAAAACACCCACCTTCCCTCTAATGCCCCTCCCTAGGGCATGCCGCTCACAGTATTCCGTGTTGTGTGATTAAACCCGAACTCTGGTTATGGTAAGGCATTTTATTTATAAAGTCGCCTTGGGTATCTTCGATCCATTTGCGGGATTCCGATGGGAGGGGAGAGAGGGCAGCGACAACGGCGAAAAAAGACGCACCACTGTAGTTGTAATGCATTTATATTTAGCATCCGTCTAGTTTCGGTTTCGTTAAGCTACCGGACCCATATACGGTAAACGATTCCACCTGATACAGTTATCAATATTTTATCATAAAAATAGCATATTTTTTCAATTATTCTTTTTAATCGGAAGTCAATAATATATGTCGATCGCTGGGATTTTTCTTATCGATCGATTAGCTCATTTGTTTTATGCATGGACAATTTAAAACGCCACCAAGCATGACATTACAATTTAAGAGCTCTCGTCAAAAGTTCATGTTTCGTGCACTTTTTTTAAAAATTATTTCATAAAATTTCTTTACAAATTTTTACAATATTTTTTTTGAATATTAGTGTTAGAGAATTATGCATTTTATAAAATATGTTTATAAGTAATAAATAACTTCATTTTTTTTAAAAGATTAAACGATACTTTAATTCATAAATAACGCAGTTTTTTTCATCGAAAACCTATCTATTCTAGTAAAATACTAGCCCAACTTAAGTTTTTTTTTTTTTAAAGTTTTTTTTCAGTTAGGAAATTGTCTTACTTTATATCTTATTATTTGGCGTAGGGAGCCAGCTATTTTTTTGGGTATAGTATTGAATTCTATATTTTTTATACGATAAAAAGAGTGTACGACGTGAGATTCAACTATTAATGCATAATGCATCATTTACAATATAGGATTTCTCACTTGCAGTGCTATTTTTCTATTAAGTGCAATTACGGAAACATTGCATTTTATTCTCTACTCAATTTTATCTGAAAAATATTACTGTTTTTATGGTATGTGTTATGATAGAATGCCAACGAGTACTCGCGGTTTAATGCTTTTGTAGTTTTTGCCAACTATTTAAATATTTGTAGTTAACCATTATGACGGGCAATCTGAAGCGCTACTGTTTTCTTTATCTCCATATCTATTCTATTACTGAATATACTGAATTCATGAACATCCACAGTTCTCGCATCGAAACTTATTTTACAAACCTGACTGGTGGGCGATTATTTTTGTATCAATTTTCAATTCGTATGCAAACTGCTATTTCAATAGGTGTAATTTTCTTTATGCACGCCGTTTTGTCACGAAGCCAATCAAGTAGCTTGTTTTATCGCCTCGTAATAACTAAATAACTTTTGTGAGACATTTTAATAAGTGTAGGTAATCTCGCATAGTCATTTAACACATGTTACGTATCTGTGGATCTGTTACACAGTCATAATACGAGCACACCAATTACTAATTCATCAGTTTATTAATTCAATTATTAAAAAACGTTTATAATATAAAATAAAAAATTATATTTTATAAGTGACATCCGCTTAAACGTAAACACAATAATTGTCATATTCTTGATCGGTTTAGTTAGATTAAACCGTTTAAGATATGTTAAAATACTCAGTTGGCAATTATTATTTCTACTAACGTCAAATAGGCTAACTTAGGGTAGTTGAATATTTTACAAATTCCATTACTTAATTTTTGTAAACAAATATTTTGTGTTTCTTAACAATACTTGTAAACATTTTAAATTTTAATATAACTAAAGAGATAATAGATACTTAACTACCTCAAGTTTACCTAACTAAGTTAGCCTATTTGACGGTTGGATTGAAGAACTATTCTAAATTTTTATAATTTGTGATTGTAGTATTTTACTTTTTATAGTAGTATTTTTACTTTAATACAAGATAGAAATTCAGATTAGTGTTTATCATTTTTATCATTATAATGATTTAATAAAGATTTTAGTTTTCATATAAAACAAAAAAATATAACTTGAAAAATTTTTTGGTCCACGCGCATTAAAAGTTTCAAATGCCAAAAATAAATTTGATTCGTAGACAGTATGAATAATGAATATGGTTATTTCGAAGCATGAGCTGGTTTACATGCCAATGTCACATATTTTAATAATTGATCTAACACTTCACAACAAAAACAAAATACTTATAAAATTATTTTTAAAGAATGTACTATTTAGCTATTTTTGACTAAGATTCGAAAAGTAGTAAATAATTTTATGTAAATTTAAAAAAAGCGGAATCTTTTAAAGTAGATTTTGGTAGAATTGTGACTAATTAAATTGTATCGGTTTTTGTATAAGTTGTTTGCAGCTTAATAAACTATAATTTTTTTTATATAATTTATGACTTGGAGTCATACGTGACGAATGTTCTAAGTCGTAAAAACTGTGAGTAATTTTTAATAGTCAGTTACAAAGTCAACGATACTATTTGGTATTAATAATTAACACCAAATATTAGCGTTCTATCATTAGAATATAATAACTACAATACAATATATTAGTTTTATTATTGATGTAATATGAACCACTAATAACTTAAAATAACAATACTTTCCTCGTAGAAGTTTTATTATTTTCAGCTATACACTAGAGTCGTGTGCCAATAATAGTTATGTTGACAAGTAGAGCACGGAAGCAATATAAGGTTTAATGGCACATTTTAAACATCGTAGTTAACATAATTTTAGAAATTTATAATAGTCTGAGATAATATTCTAGTTTATATAGCTGAACACTTACTATTTGACTGAGCTGCTTTATCTAAGGAATATAATTATTTTTTAAATATCCATTTTATATATATTGAACATAAAAAATATATTTTTAAAATATTAAACTACTAAAATGCCATAAATTATTTTTTATCGACATTTTGTAAAAATAAAATAAATGTTGAAAAAAGATGAAGTTTTGACGCTTCTAATGTAAAGTGACGGAAGAAATAAATTTTAATTGGTTAAATATTTTAAAAATAGAACAATAATATAATTGACGATGTTGAAATATTGACATAGTAATTAGATATTAATTTTGTTTGAAAATATTAAGGTAACAAAGATTTACTTAATTACTCAATATAGATTTAGGATAAATACATAACGTGAATTGGATAAAGCCAAAATAACAAAATAAAGATGATGTGCATTTTAAAATATAAATATCAAGATGGCCATTAGTGAAAGTGTAACAGTTGCAAAGATAAATTGATAAAAAATACGGTTAACGTAATTATAGTTTAAACATTTCCATAGATATAAATTTATAGTTGATATCTTAATGTTTTAAAGATTGCCATTAAAATAATTTTAATAATTATTATTCTACTAGATCATAATACATAACAGTGTAATTATTTTATTTTGAGTTTCGTTTTGGCGTTTAAACATAAAATTTATCTTTAAATTTTACATTGATAATATCATTAATGTACAAACATATTATGCTTGTTATTGAAGTAAACATAAGTTGAATTTGCGATAATTTAGTTATACTAAAGTTGATGCCTGATTATTATAATTGAAACATTATTTGGCTAAAACTTTTTAACATGCAAAACATCTCCCATTATCCTAACTTGATTGTTGAAAACAAACAGATGTTATCGAAACGGTTACAGTCTGTTAAGCTACCGATGTGTCCCACCGAAAAGCGCAACATCAATGAATGTTTTTAACTTAATCACGGAGATTGGCTTTAAAGACAAAATAAATTTGTTGCAAAAAACAAGTACATGCCAGCAATGCGTGGGGGTTGGTTATTTTTTTTTAATGCCATTTATGGTGTCGCGGTGATGGAACACTCCCAAAGCCCACGCAAGACCTATTCTTTTCTGCAGTGGTATCCGGTTTCCAGAACGCTCGACGTAAACTGCCTGTGGCCAAGGAATTCGATGGGTGAGGTTTTTAACAGGTCAATAATAGTGGCGAAATTTGTTCTAAACATCAAACACTGGAATGCCTAATCTATTAAAATTGCACTACTTGGTTTTTGTGTTGGTTATGAGTGCAGTTATTGTTGTTCCCCTCCCGCGTATTCAACGGTAAAAATAAACAAAGCACTCTAAGATGTATATATTCATCAAGTGTTATTACAAGAAATTCAGTATATAAATTACCGACAATTCAGTTGTAGTGCTAACAAAACTCTCAAATAGAATAAAATAAATGCGTACATTTTATGTGTCTTTGCCGACGGGTCGTCTGACTTCATTAATAATTTCTTTTAATTTATAATACTTTTATATCATCAGGATTTTATATTGAAACATTTTAAGGTTAAAAAGTATAATTGACTTCAAACTTTTGAAAGTTTTGGAATATCATTACTTTTTTGGTACAAAAAGATACATTCAGTTCAAAACGTTACCGAAATTATGTTTAATACGCTTAAGTTCTTCAGTACTCACGTAATATTTGTTATAAATGGAATTTATAGTATCTATTCTTTTAGCGTGAAATATGAAATCTGAAAACACCCGACTGATGTAAACTGCCGAGTATTGTCGAAAGGAAAAAATGCGAGGTCAGGTTAATTGCTTACAGTGCGCGGGCAGATTTATGAGCAATGATTTCTTATGACGTATTTAGTTTTTAAAATGCATGAAACAATCTCTTGTAAGTGTAGGATTTATACTAGAGTAACATCGTTCTTGGTCAGTCGCGGCAAAATTATTTATTGATTTGTCAAGTCTTTCCACTTTGTTCTTGGACTAATTATTAACATAGGAATTAACCACAGCTTAGCTAGACAATTCAATAACTGTATCTATAATATCACCTCTTTCCCATCTTCCGATTATAACGTGCATTCTCTTGAGCATTGATAGCATTTCCTCAATTTTCTGGGTATAAAAATTTAATTTTTAATTTCAATTTAGTACAACGAAAAAAGATATACTAACAGAGTATTAGCTTATCAACTTATAAAAAATTTATTTCGAGTTAC